AATGGTTACTTAAGCCGCATCAATCGATGGATAGATACAAAAAGATGACGGTTGTAATAAAAACGGTAAAAAATTATGAGAAACCCTAATAATTTTCACCATTAAATCGGGCCTAGAAAAATTGCAAATATCTATTCTCTATTCATACTATTTGTCAATGACGCACTTTTTCTGCAGTTGCGGATTTGTACCACGTCGTCGCACTCTTGCGCCATGCTTGCAAGTTTAGCTAAGCATTTTGCCTGCGCTCGGTCAATGGCGAACATTTGAGGCCCGGAAAATTCACTGCCATAGAATTCTATTATTAATTTTTTTTAATCGTGGCTTAGTTTTACCTGCTGAAATTGTGACGGCCTGTACCTCTTGTGCTATTGCATGCATATACCGCAAAAATGACGCAAGGCCTTTGCGACGCGGATGCGTCAATGCGCCCAAAAAGGATATTTGCCACTGGCACAAACTGTACCATATCTTAAGGACTGGCGAACATCATTTCCAATGCTAATTTTTCTATCAAAAGATTTACTTAGATTTGCAAACTCATATTGGGCGAATGCAGAATTTATTTAAGTACGGCGATTTCAGTGAGATCGTTAACTCCGCCCACATGCCCCGCCTCTCTGATATGTGTTTCTCACTATCGCCATGTGGATCAAAATTATTTCGGCGGCTGTGACTGCCAAAGCTTTTACATGGCAACAAAAAGACAAAAACTTCAAATTTCAATTTTTTCAATTTATCTAAATCTTAACTGTATTGGAAGCATTCTTGTGTACTTCAATAAAAGAAAATAACTTGGTCAATTTGGTCACGCGACAGCCTTTTTTTTTTTGAAATTTATCCATGTAGATAGTTGAGAAAACGACTGTGAAACATGGTTATCAAATGATGAAGCTTTATGATTGAAAGGTTTTGTAAATTAATAGAGGAAAACGGACTAATGCAAGTGTTTCTAATCATGAGCGAAGAGAAACTGACCAAAAAGAAGATGGAGCGCTCCTCTAAAGGATTGATGGTTGGTTTCCGCTCGTTTGCTGCACCACTAATCTGCTCATTAGTTACATTCCCAAGGCTCAATACGAATCGCACATTTGCTCTCAGACTCAGCTTGGAGCCAAGTTTGAAGGATGAATTTTGTGTTGGCGGATTAGGGATGGTATTACAGAATCCTAATTTGAAGTAGACTGACTCAAAAGGCTTGGTCGAGAGCTAAATAAAAACAATTTCTGTAATGTTTGTGGCGGCGCATTTTCACCTAATCACATTACACCTTCGCCATTTTAGCTCAGCTCAGGTCTGACCCCTTCAATAGAGAAAATTGGATTATAGCAGTGACATGAGATTGTCGCTATCCTTTTTAGGGAGGGGGTTTACGAATTCACACTTCTCTGCATCTCTGTTCTTCGTTATTGTTTAAACTACCGCAATTTCACGAGTACAAGAGTTCTTTTTTCTAAACTCGACCAGTCTGATGACTTCACCACTTTTATGGTAAGCAAACTGTGGTGGCTGACCAGTTTTATGGAAAGCCGGTAATTGGAGTTTGGTGGCTCCTGTGCGTTACAGTACACATAAGCTTATAAAAGCTGTATTTAGACATCAACAGTCAAGGTCGCGAGTTGGTGACCTTAGGCTACATAAGATTCCAAGCTTAAGAGGAATGATAAGATTGTGAGAGCGCCAACAATGACGGCACAACCAGCCTGATCACACTAAGAGGATTCGAGGCCAAAGGATCCTCTACCGTGCTGATCTTTAACTGAAGGGATTGCAAGAGAGCGACCATATCGAAAAGCACAATGGTGTGGCCGGGCTGCTCGAAAAAGTGAAAAAGGTGCGTCTTGCAGCCTTGAAACTAAGGTATGCTAAAAACCGTCGTTCTCGCAGTGCAAGCTTTGCTTTCATATGCCACCACGTTCTCTAGACATATTCACTGTAACAGTGATAGAATCTGCGACTTACTGTTCCTCTAAGATTCTTATGGTAGCAAATTTGAGGATATTAGGTCGATACAACCTTCCTTATCTGGAGAAAATTGATCGTGCTTGTTGACGATGTTGCCAAACAAGTCAACCTTCCACGAATCTGGTGATCTAAGGGTTTTTGAAACGAAAGAGCAATAAAAGGCTACGGTAAAGTTCTCCACAAATGTCAGATGTGTGGTAGTGTAATCAATTAGTCATGTAAAAGTTGTTTCTAACTAACACTTGCGATTTTCGCTTTAGATTCAAATGTTCGTTTATTCTTAAGTACAGCGTTCTTCTGTTTCCCCAATATATACTTCAACACACACTTTACAAATTATGAGATAAACATTGCAGCGGCACATGCATTTGAATGCATACAATGCAGTCTGTCTTCAAACACGCTTGATCGTGACTTCTATCACAGGAGTGCTTCAGCTTCGGTCTTTCTTCAAAAACGCTTGATCGTGACTTCTATTAAGCACCAGGAGCTGCTTCAGCTTCGGGGCGGGGTTTCGACAAGCCTCAGTGAACTGCAATTCTGAGCAACACCTAATCGCGCGCTTGATTCATCAGATAGGATTTGAGCAATTACGACGACCGCTTTTGCTTTTTCGCGGCAGGAAACCATTGCTTGTTTTTCTGTGATGTGGGAAGCCTGCTTGAGTGATGCAGATCTGAGAGCATCATCTTCTTTTGCTTTTCGTAACATGTTTCGGATGATGCTAACTTTCATTTGGATCGGGTGTGCAGAGGAGAAGTGTACAAGTATATTTTTATGAGTAATCTTCTGAACCAGTTTTTGTGTTTTCCTTTACACAAGCAGTTCTGGACATCTAGAAAAGGAAGCCATCCTATTCAAGCGTTTCTTTTGTAAATTTGATGTCAACTATTTGATTATTTAGTATTCAAAACATAGGTCCACCTCCGCTTGTGCGGGACAAACGATGAGTGTACCATCGATATAGCTCAGTGAAGGACATTTGCGGTTGAGAATGGGTTCTTCTATCTTTGACATGAATGCTGTTGCTAAAATAGCTACCAAACGGTGGCCCATTGCGGCGACCCATTGCCTAATTCCATACTTGTTAAAAGCACAAAATCTTTCTCGACGGCGATGATACACCTAGGAAAATTAGTGGTTGAAGTCAATGTCCAAACTGAAAAGGAAGTCTGGCTCATAAATACAGATCGTTTATAAAATTTATTGTTTGTGAGAAAGGACATTCAACTGACTTTGTTACGAAGTTTTTGCATGCTGCGCTCGTCAAGAATATATAGCGAAAAGTCGTGAAATATGCGCCTCAAAAATCACAAAAAAAGATGAAGTATCCTCAAACTGGTATTTTTTAAGATCAGAAATGCCGTGGTTGGTGGGTAGAAGTAAGCGGAAATAAACCCAGTTCATCTGTTTTCTCATTGCGTAGAAAGCACTTGTCTCGAACAAATGATTACTTCAAAAGTTTCCAACATCTGCAGCAATTATCTGGTTGAAGCACCAGTGGTGAAATCTTCAACTCCTAATGCAAAGAAAAAATAATTGTTCATTAGTCCACTTACACAATGGCCTTATTCGGGAAGAGGGTGAAATGGATGATAGAGTACCTGCTGATGTAAGCGGGAAAAAGTTTGATGGGAGACAGACAACGCTTCGAAAATTCTATTATGCACATATCAATAATGGTGCACTTGGAGAACAAAGTCGGCAGAGACAGCTTACATGACAACAAAACTCGGAATCATAGTCAATTAGAGCGCATACTGTAAGTCATGCTATTGCGAACTCACTATTAAGTTCTCCAAATAGAAAACTGAGAATCAAGGCTTTGAGTAGAAGAGTAGAAAACGTTGGTTCAAATGCTAGATGTTGTTTGCAACACAATGAAAATTCGGACTTTTTGAGGTTGTTTTCCAAGCCGCGAGCCAAAAGTGATGATCCTTGCTTGGGCTGACTCTTGCAGCTTAAAAACGTGGAAAACATTGTGACCTATGCGCTTCACATTATCAGCCTGCCGATACGCAACTCAACAATATGATAAACACTATTACGGTACTGAGGATAGTTCCAAGCTAGCGTTCACCTCAATAGACTTAGTCGTAAACGGGCGAGTACCACCGGCTGATATAATGCCCCCACTGCTAAAGTAGCTTCTTTTATAAGCATCTAACCTCGAATTTATGGATCAATCTGCTGTGACCAACGAAATGGCTCTATATCAAAACCTCTGTGGTTTTGATCTATGACGTCGAGGTCAGATGCTACAAGAGAGGCTAGTTAACTAGTAAAGGCACTATTCCAGTCGGTGGTACTCCCTCTATTCACCGTTAAAGCTACTGAGCTCAGCACCAACTTGGTCTGTCCTCTGCTACCGTAGTAGTTTTATCATAATGTTATATTAATTTCATGTTTCTGTAGGTTGATAAGGTGTTTGAGGCAGACGCTATACTCCCCGAGGAGTATAGCATATAGCAGCACTGGCGATCGCCAATCGCTACGACTGGCAATCGCCAGTCGCCAATACTGGCGACTGTGTCTTCTATGCGTATCGATCGCTAAGAAGTTACCACACATCCAATCGATACACATTTAATGTGTAGTCGCCAGCACTGGCGACTGGCGATCACCAGTCGCTACGATTGGCGATCGCCAATATGCGACGAAAATCGCCGGTTTTACACACATTTGATGCATATCGATCGTCGCCATGCTATATTCCTCGAGAAGTATAGCGCCTGCCTGAGAGGATAAGTCGCAAAGTTTCTGACTTTTTAAGGCTTTGAAGAACGCGCCGAGACGTCACACCAATATACATTACCAGTCTTTGGCTCACGGCTCAAAAACGACAAATTTTTACACCATGCCGAGATTTAGTGACAATCGAACATGGACGCAGTTTCAATCTTACGAGGTTTGAAAAACACCACCGCTTGACTTCATTAAGGTTCTTGAGTTATGTAGAGTGCAACTATCTTTGTTTACAAAACATGGTGCTAAATAAAAGTAAGAAAATTTGTCAGTGATGTCCATTCTGCATTGTCAGCTCTGAAGATCATACTCACTTACTAACGATCAAGTCATGGGCGAGGTGTGAGACGGCTGCATCGGCAGGAGTTGGCTGTGTCTATTCTCTGCCCTGATGTGCATTGACTATCTTGCAGAGAAGAAAAAAGAGGAAAGCACCGAAGAAGCCAGGCGTAGAGAGGGAGAAGATGAAGCCAGGCGATACAGTGCAAAGCGAGCAGTTTACGTAAGTTTCACGATTCCCGTGGCTAGAAGTAATCTTCGTCGACAGATTGGATGTAGCTTTACTACCGTTCACATAGCAGCAAAACAAGGTCAGCACACTTGCATACGAGTACGCTGACCTCTACAAGTGGTTTGATAACCAGGCTTCTCTGTATCTTTGTGGCATGAGAAGAGGCATCACAATGGTGCCGCTTTTCCATGTCGGTAGCAAGCTGATGAAGGGATTTACGCTGTAGCTACAACATGGCTTATAGGACACCAGCTGGCAACTTTGGCACAGCCCGATCAAGTGCCAGTTTGACGAGGAAAGACCGGGGCATGTGAGCCGTACTGCAAGGGCGAGGCTCCTTCGTGAAGGCAGTGGCTCGGCAAATCTTCAATTTGTGGAATTTCGGCTCACCTGAGATTTTCCGATGCACCGATTCCGAAAATTCACCTTGAAATATCCATAATGGCGAAAAGATTCAACGTCCTTTGAAACAAATCGCAACAATTCCCGCCAAGCTTAAAAACGCAGAGTTTTGAGGACCCTTACTATAACAATGAGCCGTGCGCGCCCAAGGGTGGGTAGGCAGGCTCGTCCAAGCCGCCTTAAAGTTGACTTGCGGACATGGAATTGAGGGCATTTTCGACCAGAAGCTTGTGTACAATGTACAATACAGTATTCTACAATATCAAATTTCAAGATGTTAATCCTGCTTAGGCTGCGTTCATACTGATTCCCATGTTCTGGAACTGTTCCCGCACAGTTCCCGCACAGTTCTCGCACTGTGCTGAAACTGTGCGGGAACTGTGCGGGAACATCCAGAACTGTGCTGCATGCGCTGCAGCCGCCCCGCACCATTTTGTACGGCGGGAGTTGGAGAATTTTGACCGTTCTCAACGGTTTTTCTTCCAGATTTCGCTCATTTTGGCCTTAATCCTCCACCCCGCTTTCCTTTTTGATCAGCAGAACTTCGAATTCGAAACGGGGTTGAAGAATGAGCGCTTTTCTGCGCCGTGTATTCGAAAAGATGGGCTATCGTGCGATTGTTCATTCTGTCTTCGTGTTTTTTGCTCAAAACTACTTCATTTGTTCCAGGAAGCGGCGGCCCAATTTCCATAGCCATCTGCCACGAATTAGGGAGTAGAAGAGATCCTGAAGCATGAGTTGGGACTTGTCTCTTGTTCTTGATAATTTTGGGCGTTTCCAGCCTTTTTCGTTTTTCCATATCGCTGCTTCCCCGTTCTTTCTTCTACCTCGCTTCTTCTAGCGATGAGAAAAGCTGTGAATTTGAAGGGGGGTTAAGGATTGAACGCTGTTCTGCTCCATGTATCCGGATAGATGGGCTGTCATGCGCTCGTCCATTCTCTCATCGCTATTTTTCTTCAGACCTACTTCATGTGTTCTAGAGACTTGTCTGTTTCAATTTCAATACAGATGCGAGACTACGCAGCGACTTGTTAGTACACATGAAGTAGGTCTGAACAAAAATAGCGATGAGAGAATGGACGAGCGCACGAAGGCCCATATTCCCGGATACATCGAGCAAAACAGCGTTCAATCCTCAACCCCGCTTCAAATTCACAGCTTTTCTCATAGCTAGAAGAAGCGAGGTAGAAGAAAGAACGGGGAAGCAGCGATATGGAAAAACGAAAAAGGCTGGAAACGCCCAAAATTATCAAGAACAAGAGACAAGTCCCAACTCATGCAATTTCAGGATTTCTCCTACTCCCTAATTCGAGGCAGATGGCTATGGAAACTGGGCAGCCGCTTCCTGGAACAAATGAAGTAGTTTTGAGCAAAAAACACGAAGACAGAATGAACAATCGCACGATAGCCCACCTTTTCGAATACACGGCGCAGAAAAGCGCTCATTCTTCAACCCCGTTTCGAATTCGAAGTTCTGCTGATCAAAAAGGAAAGCGGGGTGGAGGATTAAGGCCAAAATGAGCGAAATCTGGAAGAAAAACCATTGAGAACGGTCAAAATTCTCCAACTCCCGCCGTACAAAATGGTGCGGGGCGGCTGCAGCGCATGCAGCACAGTTCTGGATATTCCCGCACAGTTCCCGCACAGTTTCAGCACAGTGCGAGAACTGTGCGGGAACCGTGCGGGAACAGTTCCAGAACATGGGAATCAGTATGAACGCAGCCTTAGCCACTGCCTTCATTCTCCTACTCCCGCCTTTTCTCTATGATCCCTCTCAGCAATTTTACCATGCGCGAGGGGTACATCGCGCAGTAGCTTATACTTACCTCTAAGAAGCCTTGTTTCGCTTACTGCAAAATGAGAATGAACTCTACTGTAGTGTTTACATACAACAATGAGACTGATAGCGATTAATAAAAACTCACTTTCATTGCAAAGTGCATTTAGACCAACTCCCTCAGTGGTCTAATCGGTTCTCAGGCAACGGATAGGACCCCTCCGCCGGAGAAATGGCAGGGTCGCGGCGGTTCCCCAGCGGTGGATCTCCCATTTGTCCGGCGGAGCCCTCCCATTTCTGCTCCGGATACCTCCCATTTTCTGCTCCGGATGCCTCCCATTTTCTGCTCCGGATACCTCCCATTTCTGCTCCGGATACCTCCCATTTTCTGCTCCGGATACCTCCCATTTTCTGCTCCGGATACCTCCCATTTTCTCCGGCGCGGCTCTTCCAAATCTGGCAGAGTCGCGCCGGAGAAATGGCGGAGCTTTGCAGCAGGGCCGGAGAAGCCTCCCACTTGCCTGCCAGTGATGTCACCGCGACGGACCGCCCATTTGCCCCTCTCTCATTGGTCAACTGGGTCCGGCGCGACTCGGGCAGATTCGGGCTGTCCGGCGGAGGGGTCCTGTCGATTGTCTGAGTTTTAGCGGTCAGATACTACGGCGCATCTCTTAGGCCCCGGTCAGACTTCACGCGACTTAATCGTCGCGATCTAATCGCCAAGATTTCCATTCATTTTCATTTCACATTCAAATATGTCGGGCTGGAAAAGAATCACAACCGAATGCAAGTTGATCGGCATGGAATGATGTTGTAACAGTTGTCTCGTCGCGACTCAGTCGCGACGATCAAATCGCGTGAAGTCTGCCCGGGGCCTTAAGGGCCGGGCATACTTTACGCGATTTCAATCCCGACGCGACATGGCAATATTCCAACTGTCCATAACGCACTGTAAGCACGTTTTAAATGTACAGAAGATAGGGATTTTATCAATCCCGTAAGTTATACGTACTATGCATGTGCAGTTTGCTAGTGTTGGATTTGAAGACTTCTGGCGAATTGCCAAATGGCCTGAAATCGCGTGAAGCAGGCCCGGCCCTTCAGGCCTTCGTAATCATGGATTTGGCCATGCCTCACTCGATTTCAGTCGCTACCAGGGCCCGGCACAGATCGTCTGAAAGCAGGCTGGACTTCGTTTTTTTGAGCAAAAAGCAAAAGAGATATCGTTTTTGACGAGTCGGGGCCGAGCACCAAGAATAAGCGCCATTTATTCGAACACTTTGGACAGGTTTAACACGACTGAGGTGCTCTATCCTGCATGGCGAAAAGTGCGCGCGATTTGAAAGCAAGGCTAAAATAAACAAGTCTTGTTTACAGCGCACGCAAAACATATGACACTAAAATTGAACTGTATGCATAGAAAATTATTTACGAAAGGTTTATGTGAAAAGGTTTGAAAACTTATGTGAAATAATACCTTTTCCGGATTTAGATCGTCTCCAGACGGCCACCAGGCGATCTGAGATCGTCTGGAGCATATATTTTCGTCATTTCACAAAAGATTCGGATCTTTTTAGCATGGACGGATTCCTCGGTCAAAAGTCCATCCCTGAGCATGAAGACATTTTCAAATCATTGCCTTTCCTTTGTTTGCCTTCATTTCTTCTCGCTTTGTTATATATCGCGCTCTAATGCCAAAGTCTTCTGCATGCGTAGTATTCAGCTCCAATCTAGATTTTCACTCTTATCTCACGTTTTTTCTTTCAGTAAATGTTTCTTGTTTTCAATCTTCTAAGTAGGTAGGTCAAAGGGGACTTCGTAAAACTTCCGAAAGTCAGGGGAGACTTCTTTTCAGAAACCCTAGAAACCGACTCGTGTCGGGCCTTGGTCGCGACGCATGAGGTGCGGGCCCTAGCACGAAAGCCATTGTTCCCTCTTCTTCCGCTTCTGACTTCCTTGTTGTTGATCGACGGTAGCTGCGTCCAGAGTTTCGGGTGAAGGTCATACACAGCTGATTTCTAAGCTGCTCCACCCTATCCACGAACACGTCTGCCCGCCTTCATTGAAGACGTTTTGCTTCACGAGGAATCCACTCTGATATTCTTGGTGTCGAACTATCGTTTGTTGATCTTATGATGTCACCCAGCCATCGATGTCTCGCTTTACGTTCCGTTGGATCACGAAAACGGGACATTTTAGTCCAACGAGATGTTGCTTGTGTTGGCTAATCTTCAGACTCTTTGAGGTGGTTCGTAATTTTTGAAGTTGGCTGTAGTATCTTCCCATGTCGCTGCACCGGGACAACGCCTGTGTTGAAAGGTGGGCTCGAAATTTCGGATTTGTCATTTGGTCGATGGCTTCCTTGAAAGGGCCCAAAATAGCCAATGCTGCTCTTCTTCTGTTAAGTTCTTCCACCAAGTCGTTTTCCATGTTCATCGAACGTTCAAGGTACATGTAGGAAGATTAAGAGTGCCTTCTATTCCCATTTCGCAACTTTACTAGAGGCGTGCTTCATGGACTGAATCTTTTTCCGATTTATTAACAATCTGATCTGTTCTTACTTCGTATAGTTCCCTCAGCATCGTCTCCGCTTCATTGACAATGCTTGAGAAAGGAACAATTGTCATCTGGAAGACGAAGCGTTAGGTACTCTCCCATCAACTTGTATGTCTCTCTCGCTCCCGTGCGACTTGTAGCCGTATTCATCAACGAACCCAGTAGGTTACCAAAACAGTGCCAATGGATTGGACCGTCACACAAAGAACACTACGGTTTGCGAACCCACTAGCTTCGTGAATACCGATCTCGTGGG